TTTATATGTTTTTACGTATGATGGTTTTTACCGGAAATAGTTTTTTTTTTCTCTGAATTTCCTCTTTCCCCTTGCTCTTTAGTGTTATGTCAACGATGAATGTTTTTTGTTATAGACACAATTTTTTTGCTAGTTTCTCTCTTTCAGTCTATCGTTTTTTCACTCTACTCTTTCATGTTCGCCCTATTCTTTCTGTCTACCTTTTACATTTCTCTCTACCAATCTTTTTATTCGTAGTCGGCTGTATTCCGATTGATGCCCTCTACTTGTATGTTATTATCTATGACTGTATACTAGATGATGGGTAATTCCTTAGAGGATTATCGGGCGTCAATCGGAAGGTTTAACGGTAGTATCTACTCGTTTATGTCCTCATTTAAAATACTTTTGAACCCAGCATATTTCTTTTTATTTCTTTTAACATTACTTAAACATATGACCTATATACATTCAATATGGATTTCTCAACATGTTTATCATTGTCTAGATATATGTCTATCCGGTTTTCATAGTGCTGATTTTCCCTTTCTATTTATTATCTTAATTCTAAGTGGTGATGTTGAAACAAACCCTGGTCCTAACAATCATGGCAACTTTGATTTGAGTTTACTCCACTTAAATACTAGAAGCATTAGACATAAATATTCTTTTCTCGATTCTTTCATCAGTGATTTTGACATTTTGTACTTTTCGGAGACACATCTAGACGATTAAGTCGTAATTGATTCTCTTACTATTTCTGGCTATTCCACTTTTATACGTAAAGATAGAAATGCTTTTGGTGGTGGTGTTCTTATATATTTTTCAGATTCCATAAAAGTTTGTCGTAAGCGTGAGTTTGAACCTGCAACTCTAGAATGCATCTGGGCGGAAGTCATGTGCCACAATAGACGCATTATGATTGGTTTATTTTATAGGCCACCAAACTCCACTAACTCTTTCTATCAAAATTTCGAGTGGTGCATTGAGTCTGTCTCCGATTATTGTTCTGATATAGTTATCCTTGGCGATTTTAATGTTGATTTGTTACGCAGAAACAATAAGTTAGATACATTAGTAACCAACTACCATCTAGTAAATATTATTACCGAGCCCACTCGCGTAACCACTAACACAGCTACACTTTTAGATCCTATATTTATTTCTTCTGATATTAAATGTCTCGATAGTGGGACATTCAGTGTAGACAATACTGTTAGTGATCATAAAGCGACTTTTATAAATTTATCATTTTCTTATAATTGTAAATCATCTTACGAAAGATTTGTGTGGAATTATAATAGAGCAGACTACGTTGGCCTTAATGGTTCATTATCAACAGTAGATTGGCATTATTTAATTACTAATGCACCTACTATCGATTGTGCTGTTTCCAACTTCACTAGTAAATTTTTAGATCTGGCTAGAATCTTTATACCAAATTCTACAGTTACTATCCGTCCCTCCGACAAACCCTGGTTCGATTCGGCTTTACGTAAATCCTGTCGTATAAGGGACAGACTCAAACAAAAGGCATTACGTTCTAAACGCCAAGATGACTGGTCTTCATACAGGGGTATGAGAAACAGAGTAAATAATATGAAAAAGAAGGCCAAGGCCGATTTCTTCTGTAATTTGGAATCACGTGTCTCTACGGCAAAAGCTGAAAATCCTCGTGCTTTTTGGCAAATTCTTAACAGCTTTTTCTCTTCCTCTCCTCGCTCTATTCCTCCCCTAGAATATAATGTTAATGGCTTTACCAAAATGGCATTTAGTGACCAGGAAAAGGTAGAAATCCTCAATAATTACTTCACTTCTGTTTCCAGTACTGATGATTCTAATACAAATCTGCCAAACTTCGTCAGAAAATGTATTAATTCACTTTCTAGTTTCATGATCGAAGAAAAAGATGTTTATGATACTTTATCTATTCTTGATATAGGGAAAGCTGTTGGTCCTGACAGGATTAGTCACCGCATGTTAAAAGCTACAGCCAGAACTATTTCAAAACCCCTTACATTGTTATTTAATAGGTCTCTAAGGGATGCTGTTTTCCCCTCGGAATGGAAAAAAGCCCATGTTTTACCAGTTTTTAAAAAAGGAGATGCTCATGTTCCTTCAAATTATAGGCCTATTTCTTTGCTAAGTTGTTTGTCAAAAATTATGGAAAAATGTGTTTTTAAACATATTTTTAACTTCGCTAGAGATAGCAATATTTTTTACAAGTATCAGTCTGGTTTCCTTCCCGGCCACTCCACAGTCTATCAGTTAATAGAAATGTACCACAGTATTGTTAGATCACTGGATAGTAACGAATATTCTTGCGTTGTATTTTGCGATTTGTCCAAGGCATTTGACAAAGTCTGGCACAAGGGTCTCTTGTTTAAACTCCGTCAGTATGGAATAGATGGAGTGTTAGTATCCTGGTTGGAAAATTACTTAACCAATAGATACCAGTCTGTTGTATATGGAAACAATACTTCTTCTTTTAAGCCGGTCAGGGCTGGGGTACCTCAGGTTTCTGTACTGGGTCCCTTGCTGTTTCTATTTTACATCAATGACCTAGCTGATCCCATGAATACTTTTGTGAGATTATTTGCTGATGATTCTTCTCTTCAAAAATCATCTGCCTCATTAGAGGAAATTGAAGTTGCCCTTAATCAGGATCTAGGTCGTCTTCAAACTTGGTCTGACCAATGGCTTATGAAATTCAATCCTGCTAAGACGGAGGCTGTTATCTTCTCTCCTAGAAATAACCCTGCCAAACCAAACTTGGTATGCAATGGCGAACCCATTGAATTCAAAGATTCGCATCGTCACTTGGGTGTAACCTTTAGCAGTAATTGCAAATGGAGTGACCATGTTAACCTCCTAATTAAAACTTTTTCTCTAAAAGTATGTGCCATGAAAACACTTAAGTACAAGGTAAATAAGTTTACTCTTAATACTATTCATATATCGTTTATTAGACCCATTCTTGAGTACGTCTCTTGTGTTTGGGATGGCTGTTCGGAACACTTGTCCGACTCATTAGAAAAAGTCCAGTTAGAGGCTGCACGGATCGTTACTGGTCTCACATCCGTAGCGTCCCGCGAGTCTTTATATCGTGAAACAGGTTGGATTTCTCTCAAACAAAGAAGAGAGGAATCAAAATTGACTATGTTTTACAAAATACACAATAAGATTGCCCCTTCTTACTTGGTTAATCTACTATCTCCTATCAGACGTGAGTTAAATATTGAATAAAGAAACCCTGAGAATTACCAAATACCCCACAATCGTCTAAATACTATGAAAAAATCTTTTGTGCCGTCGTCTATAAATTTGTGGAATAAAGTAGATAATTCTGTCAAAGCCTCTCCGTCTTTAAATATCTATACTCTGGTAACCGTTTCCTTTCTGTTATACATTGTCGAATAAGGAACAACTGTAGTGGATTACGCTCAGATTTATTTAGAGTGGGAATTTGTCAATCTCCAAATTGCTCTTGTGGAGTTGTCGTTGAAGATGCAAGTCACTATTTTCTTTCGTGCCCTTTATTTTCTAATTGTAGACGTATATTGTTTGATACTTTATATGACCTAGACGTGATTTTTAACGTAGAAACCTTATTATGGGGTGATATTAACTCTTATTCATATCAAACTAATTGCGAAATAGTAAAATCAGTTCAAACATATATCCAACAGTCCAAACGATTTGATGCTACCTGAATCTTTACTAATGCAGTCGTCCATGAATCTCTCTCTCTCCCTCTCTCTCCCCCCCCCCCCCCCTCTCTCTCTCCCTCCCTCTCTCATCAACTCCTGATTTTACAGCATTATGGATCCACAAACTGATTTAAACATGAAATCTATAATTCTGTATTTTCATGTTTATTGTACGAATATATGTCACGTGTTGTAATATATTATCTGTACTGTATTTGTGGAGAAGAGTTTATAAGTTGTAAGAACTTGTCTCTTATCCATTTGTCTTTTGTCGACAATAAAATATATTTAAATCATAGATCTGTCGTATACAATAAAACACATTTAAATAAAAAAAGTAAATCTGATAGTGTCTTTTATATACATTTCTAAAAGGAAAATGAGTTATTTTCCTTTCTTTGTTATCGTCAGTTGTTGTTGACTTTTGTGCTACGTAAACAAATATTTGAAATAACAAATTAACTTGATCCTTTGAAAAAAAATGTCAAGTTTGGGAAACAGCAGGTATATGGATTTAGAACATCGCCTAGTAGTGGTAGCTTACGCTATGTGGTGTGTACATTATGTAGACTGATGTCTTAGAAAGGCATGTGCATATATACAAACGCAAAAATGCAAAATTCAATTGCGGGTATTTTTTTCAAATTTTGTAATATTATTTGTATCGAAATAATGATTAAAAAACAAACATTAAAAAAAGAGATTCTCGTCACGTTTTGGTCACGTGTACCTTAATTAGGGTTAACACGTGTAATAACTGGCTGGTAAACAAGAATATTATTAACGCTAACAAAAAAACTAATATACCAAATTAGGGATAATGATATGTTATATTATTTAAATTCAAGTATGAAAACTTACAATATTTGTTTAATCGTTTGCAAAGTTTAAGCACATAGTGAATTTTAATGAATAATGAAATAGGACAAGTAGTTAGCAATCCGCTTTAGGAAAAGGGTATTCGTTACCGTTCAGTGTATACTTTTGTAATATTTTTAGTTCTTAAGTCCCTTACTCTTGTCATACGGAATGTGTTTTGTGCAATGATTTCTTATCAATTGCAAACTTTTAACAACTTTAAAAGCCAGGAGATGTCAACATTAGAATTTATTTATTGGGATTTACGTCCACGTATACGGCCTTTCACGGCGCAAGTCCTATCCTGATCTTAGTGGAAGGGCGGTAACTCCAATACACACCACGGTATTTGTGTCACCAGGTGGCGTGTATCCCAGCAACGGTTGTTGATGTCGTCCGCCATTACTGTTGGTAGCAGACAGCAGTCGATAGGGAATAGAAACAAATTTGTCTGAAAGTTTTAACACTTTAAAACACAAAATGTCTGATATCGGTTCAGAAGAGATGGAGGAGGAGCAGGGGCCATATTTAGGCGTAAGTATAAACCAAAATCATGAAATATTTTTGTATAAATCTCAGAATGTTTTCTTTGAATCGATAAGTTTTTATCACAGCGGAGCATGCTGCCTGGTTTCGGACTCGGAGTCAGACGAGAATGATAATCGTTCGAGTTAGACCAACACTCAATATTCTCTAAGATTTTCGTAGTAGCTAACTATTTCCTAGATCTCAATTATTGTGTTGTGAATATTAATAAAAGTATGGCATTTCTTCGACGGACTCATTCAGTAAACTTTTATGTTCGACCCTGACATGGTCATTTATTTTCGTTAAAAGGTAAGTCGGGCTTATCTTATTTCGTTATTAAGCAACAAATACATATAGAAAGTAAAATAATTTTTTTGTGATTTTCAAATATTATAACTTTGTGTTTGTATGAGGAATTGAACCTTTAAAGAACAAAATGCCAACGAATCTCCAAACCACACCTTGTAAAAACATCAGTGAATACTCAGTTCCCTTCTTTTACAGATCTCCATAAATAATTATCTTTTTTAACATTCTTAGTTTCAAGGATTAAAAAGACGGGTTTTTCCCCAACCTAAAGAAAACTGGGAATAGCTTTTCCAAGGTATTATGTTGAATAGGTCTAAGTAATTGAAGATGAAGACTTTACTTGAGTTTCATGGCTCCATGAGAAATTGGGTGTTGGACCTGAGGACTGATAATTTCAGTTAGGTCAGGTCACATGTTGGGGCCAGATGTTAGCTGGTAACACCAAAGATCTGTCAGAATTTCAACTCTGGTGCAGGATTTCAGTAAATTTTAGGATACTTTGATAAAAGAATTTGGGGGCGATCACTAGCCACTCTGACTAGTGACAGAACCAATGTGGGATGTAGGGCCTGCAGGGTTGATAGTGTACACAGGAAATCCTACTATGATAAATAACATCTTCTTCTGTAAGGGGGTTTCTGAATCGGTTAAATGTTTTAATAACAAGAATATCAACTTCAGTGTATTAAATAACATAGAAATTTGTTTGAAGATTTAGGCAATAAAATTCAGATGTGATTAGTTGTGATATTGTGTTGAAATTGACATTTTCTAGGAATATGAAGGTGGACGTAATGAAAATGAAGAGCGCCATGGTCAGGGGAAAGCAACATTGCCAAACGGTGACACATACGAGGGCATGTATGATTGTGGTAAACGACATGGACAGGGAGTTTATAGGTATGAGCGAACTTCAAGCTATTGCAGTTGTTTCTCAGAACTAAGAAAGAATATACAGTTAACGTTTTATTATCAATCTAGTTAATAAACTTTTCCAGCTTTCAAATATTTCTTTAATTCTCAAAGTAGTTGTCACTTTCATATCAGTAATTAGTTATTTTAGTTTGATAAATGTAAAAATTGATGTTTTTATGTTTGCAATACAGATTTAAAAATGGTGCCAGATACATTGGTGAATACTTAAAGAACAAAAAACATGGACAGGGAACGTTTATTTATCCAGATGGTTCAAAATATGAAGGTAATATTACATGCATTTTTTCTACATGGAATTTAGCTTTGTTTTGCTAAATTGTGAGAAAAGTTTTTTCCATCTAAATAAATGACAAATTCTAGACAAGACATGATAGCAGTTAAACTTTAATGTTAGAGGGTTTGTCTGATATTTTTCTTTTTCTACAATCTTTATTTTCCAATTTTTTTTCTTTTTTGTTTTTTTAAGGTGATATTTATTATGTTTTTTACTATTAAAGGTTTCAAATGATTTGATTGTACAAATATTATTTTCAAAATTTTAAATTCTGATGCTGAATGAAATGTGTTTTAAAAGATATGAGTTTGGTTACATATATTTGTTTTTATTTGATGAAAAATTTGTGCATTTTTCTGAAAAATGATATTTCTGTTTTAGGTGGTTGGGTTGATGACCAGCGATGCGGGTTTGGTAAATATTTTTATGTTAATGGAGATATTTACGAAGGTGACTGGCAAAACCATGTACGACACGGACAGGGAACCTACACATATGCCGCAACAGGTACAAAATACGTCGGGCGCTGGCAGAACGGCAAACGGGAAGGCCATGGCGAGCTGGTGCACACGAATCATAAATACGTTGGTGTATTCCGTGATGATAAGGTGTGTTGATTATTTTAATGAAGAGTTTGTGTGAAGTTTGCCCCCATCCCAACCAAAATTTAAAAAAAAGGAAAATAACATTTTAACTTTGTGTCTGCTAAAATAAAATGTTAGATATATAGACTTTTCTTTCTAATGAGAAAAAAAATTCAAAAAAATGAAATTTAGAATTAAGGGAAAAAAATTGGTTGTACGATCTATTCATTTGCCAACTTGACACTTGCCTATCGTTAACTTCCGTTGAACAGAAGTTATTTTTGGAAACACCTGGAAAACATTTTAGTTAATTATTATAAATACATGTTAAGTACAAATAAGTGTAGCTATATGTAATCATACATTACATGTGTCAGAAAATAATCATAGCCTTTACATATGTATGTATAAAATATGATGTCACTTTTGTATTTCAGCCAATGGGAAAAGGAAAATATGTGTTTGATATTGGATGTGAGCAGCACGGAGAATACATCCCTGTAGAACAGGTAAGGACACAACAGCAGAGGCTAGAGGTGACTTAAAGGAGAGGTTAGAGGTCAAATAAAAAAAGGTTACAGATGAAGTTACTGACAGTAAAAGGAATTGAAATTCTTTGATGTTTGACAGAAAGGGTTAGAGGTTAAGTAACACACAGAAACAGATTTCAGAGGTCAGGTCATTTAAAGAAAAGTTAAGATGTCAAATGACATACAAGGACAGAGAAAAGGTCAAGTAGTTGATAGAAAGGGTCAGAGGTCAAGTGACAAGGTGAACATTTGAGATCAGGTCTTTGATAGAAGGGGTCAAAGATAACAAGGATTAGAGATCATAATCAAGTGGTTAGGAGAAATCAGAGGTCAAGTTATTTGAAGTTTGGTTTGAAAGTGACATATTTTATAGACAGGGTAGAGGTCAGGTGTTTGTGTAATAGGTAGTTTTCATTCCATAGTCAAATTATGACTGCATTTTCTGTAATTCTAACTGACTCACAAAAATTGCTGAAGTGATTTAATTCTGTCAGCCACATTTATGTACATAACTGATGCCCTGAGATGCCAGTTTTTGATGTATTGATCTTGGAGTGATAGAGATATCAATATCATGAATTAACAGGAGAAAGAAGATAAGGGAGCTGAGGATGAAGAGGCATCAGCAAACATCATTCCTAAGTGGAAGGCAGGTCAAGTGACAACTATCCATCTACAGACAGAAGAGGAGGACGAGGAGGTTGCAAAAGAAGAGGAATCAAGTCAAGGTGAGGACAAGTGTCTGGAGTTATTGATTGATGTGATGGGGGCGGAGCTAAGATCGTCTGGAATATGTGATTGTTGTGGAGGAGTGTCTGATTGATGTGATGGGGGCGGAGCTTAGATTGTCTGGATTATGTGATTGTTGTGGTGGAGTGTCCAATTTATGTGATGAGGGCAGAGCTTAGAGTGTCTGGAGTGACCCATTGATGTAATGGGGGCAGAGCTTAGAGTGGTCTGGAATATGTGATTGATAGATTGAGTGTCCAATTGATGTGATGGGGAGAGCTTAGAGTGTCTAGAGTGCCCGATTGATGTGATGGGGCAGAGTTTGCTACGGGGAAAGAGCTAAGAGTGTCTAATTGATGTGATGGGGCAGAGCTTAGAGTGTCTAATTGATGTGATGGGGAAGAGCTTAGAGTGTCTAATTAATGTGATGGGGAAGAGCTTAGAGTGTATAATTGAAGTGTGTGTGTGTGGGGGGAGCTTAGAGTGTCTAATTGATGTGATGGGGAAGAGCTTAGAGTGTCTAATTAATGTGATGGGGAAGAGCTTAGAGTGTCTAATTGATGTGATGGGGAAGAGCTTAGGGTGTCTAATTGATGTGATGGGGAAGAGCTTAGAGTGTCTAATTAATGTGATGGGGAAGAGCTTAGAGTATCTAATTGATGTGATGGGGAAGAGCTTAGAGTGTCTAATTAATGTGTGTGTGTGTGTGGGGGGGGGGAGCTTAGAGTGTCTAATTGATGTGTGTGTGTGGGGGGGGGGGGGGAACTTAGAGTGTATAACTGACAGGATGCAATGGGGCAGAGCTTAGAGTGTCTAATTCATGTGAGTGGGGGGGGGGGGAGCTTAGAGTGTCTTAATTGATAGGATGCAATGGGGCAGAGCTTAGAATTGATAGGATGCAATGGGGCAGAGCTTAGAGTGTCTGACTGTGTAAAGAGTCTGATTAAAGTATTGGGGCAGAGCGTAGAGTATCTTACGTGTTTGTTTTGAATGGACCTTGGTGGACATACAGAAGAAAAACGAGATACCGTGAAAATCAGTGGCATGGAAGCGTGAAAAAGGGTCAATATCAAACCTCTGGTACTAACAACATCTTGTGTGGTCACAGTCGTCTTATTCCCATCACACTTCTACCTATCAGGAATATCACAGGAATCGCAGAGATTAACTTGATTTTTATGGAAACTTCAAACAGCAAAAGAAACCACAATAAAAAAGACATGGTTGATAATTCATAGCTATATTAAAGTGAAGATGGAAAATAAGGTTGATCTTCCGATTGATATATATGATTTGTATTGTCATCATGATGAGCTGATTCATTTATGACCAAAGCATTTGATGTATTAGGTGTTGAAAAGATTTAAATGGTTTCAAACTATTTGGAAAATGTTCTTTCAATGTTTTTAAGCAAATGCTAGAAAATGTTTGTGACATGTGAAGTTGGTTCAATCCCCTTTCCATCAATGTTTCTGTTTCCAGGCTAAACACTAACATGACATCACTAACACTTCCTATCATGTTCAGGTAAACACTCATGTCCAGTTATGGTCACTGATTGGCCAGCATGTGTACAGCACGCAGCATTTGTCCTAGTTCCACAATGTGTCCGCGGGCTTTCACTGATCTATGTACTCCTTGCCATCTTACAGATTATATTGGGGGGGAAAAAAAAGAAAAAAACACCAATTAGTTCTGTCTCATGCACAATATTAATCATCAATATTTGAAATGTAGTTCTAACTGTAAAAACCAGCTGAATTCTTTAGAAATACAAAAAGACAATTTAATATTTGATTTAGAATTAATGAAGCTGTTCTGGCTAGTTTATCAATGTACTGAAATTATCAGAACTAAAATTATTTAAATTTATTCATGATAAGAATAAAAAAACTAGTATGAGAGGAAATTATCAAAAACAATGAATCTATTGAAGTAATGAAACAATGACTCATAATATTTTTAATGTACCATTTAAATTCACTTACTGAAAATGCCTTCGTAGTCAATGTGTACCAGCATTGTGGAGCAAGATGTGTTGCTTTTCTGATGTATCAAAGTTGACGTTGTTGTTGTAGCAAGTCTACATTTCTGTTATTTGATTGTTAGCATGCTCTGTCGTTGTCTCTTTCAGTTGTAATTTTGTTGATAGATCTGGATCCAGTTATCCAGATTCTTTTGTGTTTTACTTCGAGTGAAGTATTGTTTGTAAAATCATTGTATCGTTTTGATGTTGATAATACATGCACTACACTGTATAGTATTACTGATTTCCTACAAGAAAAAAAAACAACTACCAGAAACTTGATATTCTGCATGAATGCTGTTTTTTCCTCACACAATAGGAATGCTGCACAATGCAATACAAACACAGCTATGACCATAATTAATGGAAATACATATCATACATACTCGTTTAATAATTCTGTTAATTTTGCTTTGAAAAAAAATTGATTCATAAGCATAAGGTCAGCACATGCATGCACACAAAATAGAATAGAAGATGAAAACATTGATTTTAATTCAGTTCCAATTTTCAAATCTTGTTAAATAAACCAGTCTAAGTTAATATGATTGATAATAAACATTCAGATAAATATTTGGAGTATAAAGATTTATCATATATTGGATTTCTGTTGTCCTTGTGTTTACTGTTGTGTATGTATTAGTGAGTGTTTTAGTAAGTCATACTTCATATAAAACCAATGATGTGTAACATAAAGTATAGATACACTGGAATAGTGAATTAAAAAATAACTGACATGAAATTAAATGTCTGTAAAGTTGATAGAAAAAATATTAACAATAACAGATTATCATTTGGTTCTTTACAGTAGTAATATTGTGATTGAAAATATCATAGCATTGAATTTTTTGTCTTAAAAATTGTTTTTGTGAAGCATTGAATTTTTTGTCTTAAAAATTGTTTTTGTGAAGCAATGAATTATATCTGTCTTAAAATTTGTTTTTGTGAAGCAATGAATTATATCTGTCTTAAAATTTGTTTTTGTGAAGCAATGAATTATATCTGTCTTAAAATTTGTTTTTGTGAAGCAATGAATTATATCTGTCTTAAAAATTGTTTTTGTGAAGCAATGAATTATATGTCTTAAAATTTGTTTTTGTGAAACATTGAATTATATCTGTCTTAAAAATTGTTTTTGTGAAGCAATGAATTATATGTCTTAAAATTTGTTTTTGTGAAACATTGAATTATATCTGTCTTAAAAATTGTTTTTGTGAAGCAATGAATTATATGTCTTAAAATGAAACATTGAATTATATCTGTCTTAAAAATTGTTTTTGTGAAGCAATGAATTATATGTCTTAAAATTTGTTTTTGTGAAACATTGAATTATATCTGTCTTAAAAATTGTTTTTGTGAACCAATGAATTGAATCTATCTTAAAATTTGTCTATTTAAACGTCATAAATCTGCTGGCTTGTCAACAAGGACCATTAATAATGTAAATATTTGAATTCTGCTTAAGATACAGTATTCAGTGTCTTGGAATAGGTATGATGTTTTCAAATGTTTGTGTCATTAAAACCTTCCCAATATCAATACCAGGCATGTAAAAAAATTTCTACAAATCTTTAAATATTGTTTGTTTCTCTCATAGAACAACCACCACCGGAGGCTACGGAAGGAGAGGCTCAGCAACAGGCTGAAGGAACCACAGGGGAACAGCAGGCAGAGGAGGCAAAGCCGGAGGAACAGACAGAGGCACCACAGGAAGGAGAGGCTGAAGGTGAGGCTGCAAAGCCAGAGGGTGAGGAACCAAAAGAAGAGACACAAGCAGAAACAACTGAAGCCCCAGAGGCCCCCGCAGAAGGTGAGACGACAGAACAAGTCTCAGAGGAGGCACCGCAGCAAGAGGAAGCGCCAACAGAGCAGGCTGAACAGGAAGCTTCTGCCGAGTAATGGAGTGCAGATTAACATTGGTGGGTGGGATAGGGTGGACATTATTACTCAGTATTGTGACTTTGTGTAAAGAAGAAATCCAACTGATCTGGACAACAAACTGTTTGTGGAAAGTACACAAGAAAGGCATTTGTACAACAAAGTCATGGATTTCATGGAATTTTTTTTCTGATATTGTGACAGTTGACAGAAAGTTTCTTTAGAAATTGAGACTAAGTAAAATCGGAGAAACCACATAAACAGATGATTAGAAGTGAAAACTAGTATTGGAAGAAAGTTAGAGAAAGATAAGAAATGTGATATTTAGGTATATAAGTCTTTGCCTTATTCATGGACATATATATATCCTGGATAGTTAAAACATTCCAAAACTGTGCTCAAGCATTACAATACTCTTGTGGATATGAAGACAATAAATTTCAAGCAAAATGTCTGCAAGTTGGAATATTCATAAAACTGTATAATTTCGTAGATAGACAGCTTTTATAAAAATCTATCTGTATGAATTGACTGCCATTCTATCGATTAATATGAAAAAAGGAAATTGTCTCCCTTCTTCCAATTTGTATTACAATCGTAAATGAGTTATCTCCCTTAGTTGACCATTCCTTGCAAAATAATTCTTTTCATGTACTTCCTCTCATGATAGGTATTCTTTCCCATTGTTGATAACTTATCTCCTTTCAAAGATAGAGTATCCACGGTGTTGCATATTGTGAGTTATTTCCCTTGCAAGATGGGAATTTCCCTTCCAAGGATGATACAAGTACTAATTAATAATTGGAGTGCCTTCTCACTACTGTACTTACTTTATTTTGCAAGGGAAAAAGACTTTGACACAAAGACATTTTGGAACATGTTTTAGACAAAAGAATAATGCTGTGATATGTATTTGGAAGTCAGATCCGCGTGGGTGTTCTGAACAAGATAATGAATTATTTATAACGCTTCACACCTGTAAATACATTAAATTATCGCTCTCTTATAACATGTAAAATTTTGTACATCATTAAATATTTTGTTTACCATCAGAAATGCTTTTTGTTGTTGTTTTAAAAGAAGAAATATGAATTTAGCCTTTTCAAGCTATATATCATGAATTCAGAAGTAATAAAAACCATTGACAGCCACGAATCAGTTCATTAATATTAGCCTATCTGTTGTTAAGCTTTCTTTAGTCTTTGAAAGAGTAACAGAATCTTTCCTTACCTTGAAAATGTGGGAAAGAAATTTATATCCAAGGGGGTATTCTAGAATCTCCAAATGGAGGCTCTGTCAAGGGCTGGACATTCAAAACTTTGGCCCTGGGTTTTAGGTTATATCACACTGATGCTGCACGAATGACTATTTTTCTCCCAACACTTTTAATCATGGCATATTCCCTTCAGTGATTCTTGTCCAATATTGTAACAAAAGGATGGAAAGTGTTGGAAAGCTGTCCTTCTGACTCAAGTAAACATGTTCCCTGTTTTGAACATCATCATTTAGATCACTTGTAGACCTGTATTATGATATTGTTGTCAGCAATGTTTTGTTTATAAACTAAGTACAGGATTTATCAATATGTTTATGTAGGTATAAGTTCTTCAGGTTGAAGGGATCAGTGTGTGCAATCCTTTGTGTTGACAGAGAAAACTTTCCATCAAATATTTACTGGTGATAAGTCAGTGACTGGTGGACAGAAAAAAAATTCCACTCATAACTAAATATATTACATGCACTTTATTTCTGCGACTTCCAGATCTTGAGAACTGATAAGGGAGTTTAATTCATAACTCAAAGTATTCTACTTCAAAACATCCCACACCATATCAACTGCTGTTATTATGACATCATTAGAATAGGAGACAACAGAGAACATCAGAATGGTGTTGGACATGTCTTATACTTACATGGTACTGTACGCTGTATAATGGGAAATATTAGACCAGCGTTATTTTCACCCTCCCATCAAAATAATCATCCTATGATAAATTCACCCAAACTGCTAAATAACATACATGTTCAATTCATCTTGATGTTTAATTATCCACCGTTTTAATTTCTCATTGATAAAATAAGAGGCAAAATCTAAGAAAGTTAAATCGCAGCAAAGTTCTCTCTCACAGAAGATATATGTACTTAGAAATATTCTGTTGGGTTTGACCCTCTCCCACAAGGTACAAAGTCCATGTAGCGAAAGGAAAATTGGAGCGGAGAGCATTTGGCAATTTCAGCAATTTTAAGGCAAGGTAAAAAATAAGGTCACTGGAGGTTTTGCTATGTAAAATCAGTTAAAAATGATGAGCTCAATTTTTGTGGAGCACATGACAACTTAGTAGCCTACAGGACTAAATTGAGAGTACTTGATTTCCCACACTTTCGATATGTATCTTAAATTGACCTAGATTTTCCTACATGGTTCAAAGTAATATATAATTAAGTAAATGCGGTTAATTGGAAGTGCTATATTTAGCAAAGGCACAACTGAAATCTAGCACTACTCAACAGATAAATGAACAAACAAAATCACGGCTAGTTGGAGGCAAAATTTTGATGCGCTTCACTCAGGCTTACGGTTTATATATAAGTCAGATTTGGATATGTCCTTGCAAAGAACAGAGAGGTCACTTGTCAATCTCCAGTACCAGGAGTTCCCCGGAATATAAAATGAACTCTGGAGAGGTCAAAATTGAGCTCACTGGTATAAAGGAACAAGCAGAGCTAATCTAATGCTATATCATTATAACTTTACCAAGTCACACAATAGTCTGTTTCCAGTTGCTACAGCATCAACTTCATACAGTTTTGGTAGATTTGAAAGGAAAAGGAAAAATCAATGCATAGATAAATTCAGATATTTGAAGGAGTGAAACAAAAATTTAAATTTGATATACATATTAACTTATTTTGAAATGTACACTGCACAAATGCAGGGTCTGATATTTGAGTTTTAAATACTCATCAAAATTTGGGGAAAAAAGGTTTGAACAGAACTGAATCAAAAATACTTAAGACACAAAACTATAAATATCTTTGACTAGATCAATATCAAAGAAGAATAATACAAGGTTTCTGTGAAATTCTACAGATAGGAAATGAGTAAGAAGAAAACTTAATACAAATAAATACAGTGACACAAATTTATACTTTATAATTTCCAATGTAGGCCTCTTTTTGTTTTAAATATATACCTATATGCAAGTTCATATCAAAGTGTGTACAGCATTTTAGCACCTTTACGATAAAAACTGTTGCAGCAACCATGTGTAATGGTCAGTTTTATCATCTGTGGTTGGGTGTCTGTGCCTGTTTCCATTTTCACTTTCTATTAACTACTTCAGGTAAAAGTAATATTGTCCTAATTTCAATCATGTATTCCAAGAGTATATACTTCTCTCCTATCTGTGTTTCTTTTTTTTCTTTTTATGTTTTTTTGTTGTGGTATAATCAGATTTGTCTGAAAAATCAGAATTTTCACAAAATCTCTTTAGATCAGTTTGTTTATCTGAGATTAATTTGCCTGAGTTATCTTCAGTAGAGGATCCTGATGCTCTAGAGGACACTTGTTTTTCATTTGACTGATAATTTCTCTCTGAATCTGACTCGTCATTTTCATGTCGTCTCTTCCTTTTTCTTCGTTTTTTCACCTTATGCACTTTCTTTCTGTCTAACATAAATTTACCTGAACTTTCTTCAGCAGAATCACTTGAGGAAGGCGTCCGGACAGAACAAACTCGTTTTTCATTTGATGGACAAGTTTCTCCGCGATCAGAATCTGTTTCATCACTTTCATGTCTTCTCTTTCTTTTTCTCTGCTTCTTCGTCTTTCTCCTTTCTTTGTATCTACTGTTTACTTCACTGTCACTGTCTGAACTTGAATCAAATGAACTGTCACTAGATCTGTTAGTTTTTCCCTGAGTTTTCCTGTGAATCCCTGATTTGTCTCGACTGTCTGGTGTCGAGTCGGCTGAGCTGTCACTACTCCAAGTCCTCATTTTCATTCTCGGCTTTGACGGTTTCTTAGGTCGAATTTCTCTGGTGAATCTTTGCAGGAGTAGAAGATCAGAGCTTGTCTTCCGACTACTTATTTCAGATTTGACTTGGCCCACCTCTGTTTGTTCTCTCTCCAATGATTTCTTCCTGTCCTCACGATCTTTTTTTCCAGAACTTTTTTTCTTCTTTCTTTTCTTGTCCTTTTTGTTCTTTTTATTCTTTCTGTTTGAAACATAAAAAATCAAAATATCAAATAAGAAAAAGGAATTTCAGGAATTAAAATTATTTTTGTACGTGGCAAAGAATATTAGTGTTCGGAATCGGTTGAAACTTCCTGATCGATCATCAACTTTGTGTAACCGATTGATAATCGATTAAAATCAATTAAAATCGATGAATTCTTAATTTTCTGTTTTTGGATATTATTCAAGTCTAAATATGTATTTTGTGTTATGTTTTAACAGCAATTCACGTAATTACTAAAACTATTGTACCTACACCATCGTTTTGTGTGCTAGTTATTCATTTATTGCACAGAATACTTTTTAATATAAACAAATGTCATTTTTTTAAAATAATTTTATTAATGTTGAAAATAATTTCAATGTTGAAATAATCTATTTTCATACATCACGATGATCGATTACAAATTTCTTAAGCGATTAATTGATCAAACATCTCAAACAAGTGATACTTGATTAACTCGATTAATCGGAACAACACTAAAGAATATACTTATTAACTTCATGATTGAAGGAACAAAATTGTCAGGTTTAATATGTAGATTGTTATCCTGACAGACAAATTGGATATTACTGTCAATATTGGGTGGAAACCTCTACCAAAATTAAACTTTCACCCATCTGAAAACTGGGCCAAAATGAATGATAGATTAAAGCCTGCTTCATCAGCTGAAAGATATTTACTGATACGCAAGGTAGATCTGAATAAGGAAAAATTTAACACAGGGCAAAAATGGCCAGTTATATATTCAGGCAAACAAAAAACCTGCAGTCAAACGTTTCCCTATATAGTACCGCATCGAATGTGAAACACGATTTATACATAAGTAATACATTTCAAATTTCTCAGCTTTCTCAATGTGGCGAAATTTCTGGCTGATCCATTGAATAAAATTTGAGTGAAATTTCCTTTAAAAAGAAAGTTTCCCAAGAGTTCTGGTGAACATACAGATACAGACTTAATGAAGTAAGTAAACAATATATCTTGGCTTCCATTACTTGGGGTACCTGTCTTTCTTTCTTGTTTTCCTGTGGTCGATGGAAGAATCGCTGTCAAAATCTCCAGGGTACAACATCTTGTATCCACTATGGCCCCATCTGTTTTACACAAAAACATAGAATAGTAAAACCGTACAAAAGACACACAAGTGAATAGCACCTTTTAATACAAATTTTGCACTAAATACAGCAGAGCCAAACAACGAACCAAGCTGCATCACAAACTGTTTCATCCTTCTAGGACTGTTTCATTCTTCTAGGACTTTTTCATCCTTCTAGGACTATTTCGTCTTCTAGGACTTGTCAGTGATGCTAAGGGCCCAAACCCTGAAGTCTGAAGTTGGCATCCAGTCATAACTAACACCTTATATACGATAATGGAAAACACAATATTTTTGTGGGGTTCAATTTTCATGGATTTTCAAAAATATACTTTTTTGTGGACACCTGATTTCATTCTAATAAAACTGAGATATAACTTGTGTGAGAACATCCATATCAAAGTCAAATACATGAACAGGGAATACATGTATACATGTATACAAGTAATGTGAGATCGAACAAGTGGGGTTTTACTATTTTAAAGAAGTCTGATTTTTCTTGTTCATAAATAACTCTTTTTCATTTGAAACTACAGATATGAAGCATTTAAATCATTATATGTACCTTTGATACCTGGTATATTGCTAAAATCATTAAATTTACAATTATAATTCATATTTATAAAAATTCGTAAAATTGTAAAACTTTTTATGATATCTTTCTTGGAAAAAATCTTTAAGTAGTTTTTATTTTGATATTGGCATACAATTAAGTACAATTGAATGTTAACTGAAATTGCTAACAACTGCTTTGGTTTATTGTCAGTTCTCAGAATGATAATGAGAATAAAACTTCTACATACACACTACTTTATGAACAGGAAAATGATTTTTGAACATATCTGTACAAACGTAAAAAGATTTCCCCTTTAGATTCAAAGAAAAAGTTTCTCTAAAATAATTGAATTTTCCAAACAGAATATAACACAAATGACATTTATAAATTTAACAATATTTTGTATAATGTGTTTACTTCAGATCTGATCTTCAAAACTTGGCGACATTTATGACTACATACAGTCCTAAACATACATGTTTGCAAATACATATTTGTGAAGATTTACTTAACTGTATTAGCACACTGCTGAGTAGCCCAAATAAATCTGACATTCTATAAACTTTTACTATAATGCTCTTGTATCATTGTTATACTGACTCGGGTGTGAGTCACGTATTTTCTTTGCATGTTTAGAGCTGTTACTCTGATGTAAATCAACTCCAGACTGATACAGAACATCACAATACTCTGGACTAAGTGATGAGTGAAATTACCCACAAATCATTAGCAGTAGGTACAATCCTTTTTAAATATCAATATCACTAAGAAAAACATTTCAGAAACCTGTAGAATTATATCTAAAACCTTTGAATAATGAAAGAGTAAGTAAACCAATAAATATATGTAGGTCAATGATCTGTTGAATAAAACAAGTAAATATATGTAGGCTGACAATCTGTTGAATAAAACCAGTAAATATATGTAGGTCTTCAAACATTTTATGGGTCATTTAAAAAAAAAAAAAAATGGGTGCCTATGACGAAATGAAATTTTTAAGTAAACCATTTTTTTCTCTTGGCCTTGTGTTCATACCTGTCTTCATTATCAGTTTTGACCATCCTCTTACGCTTATGTTCCCGTCTATCATTAGGATTCTGCTTCTCGAATCCACTGTGGTCCCAACTACAAACAAGTAGATGTCAATAATCAATATTTGTAAATATGTTTTTTACACATTAAGACTTAAAGACATTAAACCCTTGAGACTATCATATTTGACCAAACGATTTTTTTCAAAGATCAATATTAAGATTTGGTAGTGCATAATGGACCAAATTTGCTGAGGGCTATACATACTTTTGAATTAAAATAACCTTTTATATTCAATTTTTTTCAATTCAAATAATGTCCATCTTGAAAAGCAAGTATATACATTCCATCCTTATCCCTCCTCCCCCTCCCCCACCCCTCACCTCCCTGGGACCAATATACAACTATTTAACAAAAGAAAGGAGGGAGAAAAAGCTTATTAAAAGGCAACAATAAAATGCAACTTAAACTGCAATAGATACTGATATGCCTTGCTATGGGCTTATTAGTGAACATATATGTTAATTTAACAGGTTTACTGTATTACCGATCCACTCCTTTTAACTCCTGATTGGATCTTTGTGACTTCCTTGCCCGTTCTAAGTCACGACTGGATACAACATTACTGGACCCAAGTCTATCCATATAGGCACCTCCACGATCTTCAGGCGACTCTGAATCATCTCTTTGATCATAAAGGAAGGAAGCGTGGCTGTCACTTTGACCTTTGAACTTGTTGGACCCTCTTTCATGGTCGTATCTAGATTTTGTATGATCTCTCACTCTGTGGTTGTCAGTTTTAGCTTTATAATTGTTGATCTGAGATAGTTTGCTATGACATGCCCACATCTCCGACTCCTCCACAATCTGTAAAGGGAAATATGATTGAATAATTTTACTAATGAAATCTTTTTAAGTTATCTCGCCATGTCACAATAACAGATACTTATCTCCCTTGTAAAAAGATAGATAACTTCCCCATTGGAAAATTCCCTTGTTAAAATCTTCCTTTAGGGAAATTTACTAGATATCAATTTTGTTGTGAGGAAAAGTAGGTGACTTCCCATACATACAATATGGGAACACTTCCTCTGTCAAGATTTTCTGGATTACCTCCCTTGTCGCAATGTATTGAACAGATAAACATGTATAATTATCTCCATTGTGAAAAAAACAGACAATACTTTTATGATTTCTTTTGTAACTTATAACAACTTACCTAAAACAAAGCAGAAATTATTTCACTCAATTACAAACCAGATATCAAAAGAAGATTAACCATCCAGCTTCATAAAACTTAGAAAATCTCTCTGATTTTAAGAAAAGAAGACAGATTACCTGTACCTGATAAGATTAGTCATTACATCCTCTTATGAAAAGTTAGAAGATGAAGACTAGATGAAATAACAGGACTTAAAAAACAGCCTGTGTCATTGTCCTTGGTACTATCAATTCTAATTTTTAATTGAAATAGAAGTACAAAGTGCACAGCCAACTAGACTGAGGTTTGAACACGGGACCCTCTGAACTCCAGATGGAAGCTCTACTGATTGAGCTTCCTGGTCACCAACGATTGATCTAGTCCAGTCTGATTGTAACAAGATGAGAAAAAAATTCCATAATTTAATTACATGTAATGGCATTTGTTGGTTTTTTGTGTACAATATGTACCTTCATGTATAAAAGGCTTTGTTTTTTTCTGAGAACTTTAATCGGTTATAATGATCAAGAAATTGGAAATTTAAAGATATCATGTTGATCTTTACAAACTTCGATGAGGAGGCTAAGGTTGCAAATGATATTGGTAATTTCATGGTATTTACTACAATCATAAGATATCTGAATAACCCAAAAATAGCACAGAGGGTCCCGGGGCATATAATATTACTACCGACTGCAGAAACATCAGTAATATTAAGCATTGTAATTACAAAAGGAACAAAATAGAAAGGAAATGAAATATACAAAATGAGATATTTTGCTTTTTTGTTTTACTTCTTATTAAATCTTTAGACAAAATGGAAGGAAATGAATACAGGAACAAGAAATGGATCAATGTAAAATGGAATGGACATCATTTCGATTTGTTTCATTATTCATTGGACTTTTGGTAACAAAAAAAGAAATAGACATTATATATATATATATATACATGTAGATATAAAATAGCACAGAGTTCATTAGCTTATTTTTTATTTCTACTTTCTGTAATATATACATGTTGATTGTATCTAATTTCTCTGTGTGTCCTTTTACCCTGTTATGAGTGTCGGCATGGCGAATGTGATTCCTCAACAGGGTTTTAGCAGCAGATGTGAACATCTTCTCTCTAGCCACAATAAACAGACGAATACTTTTCCCATCAATGTTAAAGCCATATGCCAAAGAATATTCTGTTTTCAATTAAGGAGTTCTGAAAAAGAAAAATTAACAAATATAGTTAAATTTCTCTACAGGGATGTAAGATTTCTTTACAATGTACATAAGTAAAGATCAAATTCATTTTCAAAAGCACTGTGATGAATCTATGATTTATTTTTGTTAATAATTACTTGCATTGCTAAAAATAATTGGGCTCATAATGAAAATTTAAGTATTTCCAGAAATTCAACCAAAAAGAGTACAGGACTTGGTACCTGATAGATATATGTGAATGGGAATATGTATATGTAGACTGATGAACATGAAAATGCTTTAGAGAGTACAAGCACCTGACAGAAAATTGAAATGACTGGAAAGATAACGTCATGTAAAACACAGTTGCCTCCCTTCCCATATGTGTTGCTCTTGAAAATTATAGGTATGATTCATCAAACAGATCTAATGAACATTGAAACACCCTTGATATCAAAGTTAATTTATTATTTCTTTCTAACAATGGGTCGGTAAGATGGAGTCCTACGGTATACACACTAATATGCAATGTTGGATAAAGGAATTCTTGTACAACAGAAAGCAAAAAGATTCAATAAATGGGGAAAACTCAGAGTTGACTAATGTCACTTCAGGTATACCACAGGGATCAGTTTTAGGACCCACATTATTTGTCATCATTATAAATGACTAGCCAGATATTGTGGAATCGGATGTATACTTATTTGCAGATAATACTAAAATATTTAGAATAATCTCCAGTGAAAATGACTGCAATGTATTACAAAGTGATCTCAATAGAATGTCCCAATGGAGTGATGAATGGCTTCTTAGATTTCATCCTGATAAATGCAAATACATGCACATTAACAGGAAACCAAAAACTACAGAATACTCACTACAGCGAAAATCCTTACAGATAGGAGAAACCGAAAAAGACATTGGAGTAATCATAGATAATAATTTAAATTTTGAGAAACATATTTATGAGGAGGTCAACAAGGCAAACTCTATTTTTGCAATAATATGTAGAACTTTCCAATACCTAAATGCAGATTTGTTTATCCCTTTGTACAAGAGTTTTGTTAGAACACGTCTAAACTTTGCTAGTCCTGTGTGGTCACCTACAAAATGAAGCATATTGAGAAGCTAGAAGGTGTTCAATGACGGGCGACAAAGCAGATACCTGGGCTTAAAGAGTTGAGCTACCATGAGAGACTGAAGAGATTACCTACACCATCATATAGACGTGTAAGAGGGGATATGATGGAGTTGTACAACATATTACACGAGCATTATGATCCAGAGGCAAGCAGTATTGTGGAACTATGGAGGAACTCAGCAATTAGACAAAGAACCAGGGGAAACTCTCTAAACTTCTACCCTCAACCAAACAAAGCTGAACTCCGGAAAACTACTTCTCCATTAGAACTGTCAATATATGGAAGAACCTACCAGAAAATATTGTTAGTGCACCAACGAAAGATACCTTCAAAAGCAGATTGGATAACATTGGGGAAACCAGAGCATATTCTATGACTTTAAAGCCCCAATTAGAAGTGACAGGATCACAACATTTATAGAGAGTGATAACGAGACTGGTGTAGAGAACCGCTAGGTCCTGTAGGCTGTACCAGAAAACCACGCCAAGTAAAATAACCTACACATATTAATGGTCACATCAAATAAATTGATTGATTAATTTACGATAAGCCATGTAGATGTCATTTACAAAGTACAACATAATCGTGTTCATACATTAGAAAAGATCAACCCAAACATTTCTGTATTTATACTGACCGATCAATCATCGACGACCGTGTCCCTCACGCTTTTGTGCAAAATTTAGAGTGGCCTCCCTTGAGGACACAATTTGTGACGTATTACGCATACTAAGGACGCTACTTTCGTGTTGTGGCCTGCGGTTCAACAACCATCACATCCACATATGTCCACTGCGAGGAATTGACGACAAAAAGTAAATGTTCTTACCTTGATCAATGGGTTCAATACCGAAAGCATTTTCTCTAAAGTTTAATTAGGCTTTCTTTGTATTATAATTAATCTTGAGCGTGTTAACACAGCCCCCATTATCAGGCTTGTGGTCGAGACTGGATTTAGAAACGTTTCCATTATGATGAAAAATCCAATTATTTCAGATGCTGAAAACATAAAAAAATCCGAAGTAAATTTTATTTTCCAGAAAAAACACAGATCTACTCGGACACAGCTACTTTGATTGACAACAAGAGAAAGAAACCAACATGGACACCAGTGAAAAAGTTGACAGCGATTCTATGATGCATCAAGCCCAGCATATATGGTCAATGTTGGATGATATGGCAAACTCGGACCCCAAAGCATATAAAAATTTCATAGACAAGCACATTAAGGAGGGTCAGGAGTTCATGTCCCCGCCCACACCTCACATGTGTGTTCAAACTAACCTACTGGTGAGTAATTTAGATAATTTACATATATTACATATTTACATATCCTTCACAAGTTACTGATAAGTGAATCATCACATGAAAGAATTTGTTTATTATTCTGTTCTTTTATATTCTCACCATAATACAGAAGTAATTATGTTATCTAATTATGAAAAAGAAACTTTAAAAAACGATCACTAATGGAGTGATGGAACCTTTCACCCCCTCAGAAAAGATACTGAGTGAACTCAACTGGAGGGAAAAGGTTATTTTGTAGCCTATTTATCTTTTCCCGAGGATTGAGATCCTCCATCTCAGATCACCAACAATGGAGTGAATGTTTAGTTATCTCCTACCCTGCTGGCCTTATTAGGTATGTGTCATTTTTTGGTCCAATTTTTTGCATCATTGGCTTGACATAATAGATTTGAAAGCAGAATCGCTCAGGGGAGACAAGGAAATTAATCTCAAACCAGTGAAAAGCATGGATATATATATAGATTCAATGTCTAGTTTATAGTCCTGAGTTTTTTGTCTAACCTACCATAACACCACGATATCGCATTTTTTTTAGGTACCTGGACGGAAGTCTTTTTACATCAACTTCTGTTCCTGGACGAGAGTTCCTGAACCTAAGTCACCGGAAGATGCTGTTCCAGTCACTGGTACTGATATTTCAGAAGGTCAAGATAAATATGGTATGTTGTGTAAAGGAATTTTCTTCACTGGTCTTCTCAAATCAAGACATATAATTTTGAATTAGATAAAGAAGCTAGCATACTCGTACATTATAATGTGTGTTTTAGTCTTTTAAGTGATTGGCAAATAGGTGAGTTACTTATAGGACATTCACAGGTAACATATAGAACAGTCACAGATTACATATAGAACAGTTATAGGTAATATATAGAACAGTTACAGGTAACATATAGAACAGTTACAGATTACATATCGAACAGTTACAGGTAACATATAGAACATTTACAGGTAACATATACAACGGTTACAGGTAACATATAGAACATTTACAGGTAACATATACAACAGTTACAGGTAACATATAGAACAACTGCAGGACACATATAGAACAGTTACAGGTAACATATAGAACAGTTACTGGTAACATATAGAACAGTTTCATGTAACATATAGAACAGTTACAGGTAACATATAACACAGCGACAGGTAACATATACAACAGTTACATGTTACATATATAACAGTTACATGTAACATACACAACAGTTACAGGTAACATATAGAACAGTTATGAACAGTTACAGGTAACATATAGAACAGTAACAGGTAACATATAACACAGTTACAGGTAACATATAACACAGCTACAGGTAACATATACAACAGTTACATGTTACATATATAACAGTTACATGTAACATGCACAACAGTTACAGGTAACATATAGAACAGTTATGAACAGTTACAGGTAACAAATAGAACAGTAACAGGTAACATATAACACAGTTACAGGTAACATATAACACAGCTACAGGCAACATATAGAACAGTTACAGGTAACATAAAGAACAGTTACATGTAACATATACAACAGTTACAGGTAACATATAGAACAGTTACAGGTAACATACACAACAGTTACAGGTAACATATAGAATAGTTACCGGTAACATATAGAACAGTTACAGATAACATATAGAACAGTTACAGGTAACATATAGAACAGTTACAGGTAACATATAACACAGCGACAGGTAACATATAGAACAGTTACATGTTACATATATAACAGTTACAGGTAACATGTTATGTTTAAGTGCAAACAGAATAATGGATGATATTATAACAATGTTTTTAAATATATTCAAAATTTTCAAATTCCGTTTTTGGATCTAGTATAATTGAATTAATGTCCAAACGTAACATAAAACATTAACCCAAACACATACAGATGTGATAACTATACATTAGATTCATTACAAGTTTTCTTTTAAAAACACATTGTCGCTCTCGATATGTGAAGGTAATGACCATCTATTATTTGACATGAGGATGATGATTTCTTTTTTCCTCTTTTGTCTTTTTTCAAACAACACATATTGACTACAGCACATTGTTACCATCTTGTTTATCCGTTTTTTTTTTCTTTTTTTTTTTATCTGTTTTCCGTCTTGTCAACTTAGTGTTCATAGGATTATAGTTGGTCCATTCCTTATGCTAGTACGCTTTACACTGGTCATTTGTTTGATGAAAGTGATGATAGATATTTAGTTATCAGAATGTCACACTCAAATCGTCTATTGTTTGTATGATAAGAACTTCTATTCTGTCGGTAAGAAGTTGTTGACCCTGTATATGTACTTCAGTATTTTGATAAAATCATCAATGATTTTCCTGTTTCATATGTATATTGGATGAAATAGCAATGTTTTTGTTTTTAGAAACATGAGAATAAAAATGAACGTTGCCAGGAATTTCTGAAAAATATTTTATATAAAGAATATACCTAACTCAGACATCATTGTTTATTTCCAGGCGATTATTCAATGACATCGTGTGCGTTCAACCCAAAAGTTATTCAAGAATACGGTCATGACACAAAATCATTTGCAGACCGTGAGACTCTGATAAATTTAGCAATTGATTTTATCCAACATCAACACAAAGTGGAAATCTCTCGAAGTTTTACGTTATTACCAAGTGACATTACCCACAAAGGGGACATAACTCTGCTCCACAAAAGTTTTTCTAAAAAATCACAAAAAAGTGAACAACAATTTGAGGAACAATTATCAGAATTAGAATCAAGTTTCGGACCCTTGGCATCAGGTGCAAAAAATTCCTTATTGAATAAATTAGCAAATTTGTCAACAGAAGAAAGCAATTCATCAAAAGCTAATGGGCATAACATGGGAACCACATATGATTCTCCTACTATTAAAATGCCTAATCAAACAGAAGTAAAGAAAACAGGCATTATTGAAGAGATTTCCTCTCAAAGTAATTCCAAACTGGTTTGCCCTGTATATACAATGGATTCTGTACGGAATGATCATGAAGAAATAGATCATGTCACTGTGAAGATTGAGCTTCCAGGAGTTAAAAGTGTTGGTGAATGTGAACTTGATATTTCAAAGGTAAGAGCGATCTTATCCTGTGTCTCTATTTTTATGTTTGAAGTATTTTTTATCCCCCAAAAAAGATTTTTTTTCCCTGTTTTTTATAAAAAATTTTTTTTTGTCAAATTCTTACATGTGATTTTCAAAATATGTTTCCTTACCAATGAAATATCAAAAAAGATATTGTTATATCTATCATCCATATCGCCCAAACTAATTCTCAGACAAAAATCAGAAATTTGTGGATAAACAAATATAAAGTGAAAAAAATGCTGTGTTTCCCTCAAAGTATTTACACATTCTTTGAAAGCATATTTGAGCCAGAATGTAAAGTTGATGCTTTTGTTACAGGATGACCTTCAGCTGACAGTCGAAGATAGGTATGACCTGCATCTGGTTTTCCCATGTAAGATAATGGATGATGATGCTGGAGCAAAATTCAGTAAAAAGACATCTGTTTTGACAGTTACTTTACCAGGAGTGAGAAATTGAAAATGGTGAAACAGGACAACTTGTGTTCCATGTATTCTGATTCCCTCAAATGGATAGACATATCATCAACCTGCAGGAAGATCAGCAGTACACTACCAGTTACTGTGTATATGTTTAAGTTGGTGCAAATATAAGAAAATGATATAAAGATATTTAATTTTATTGACTGCTTTCAAAATCACTATCAAATCTTCTTACCACAATTTCAGGTTACAAACTTAGTTGCATCAAAAAACAACCATTCTGCTACAGACGAAGTTATTTCCTCTGAAACAGGATGATATCTCTCATATCTCACTTCAAATTGAGAAAAGACAGCTCACAATGAACTCTGTGTAATGTGGACAGTTATAACAACTGTCTGGATGATATTTTAAAAGATTAAAAACTTTCTGTGAAGCTTTTAAATATAACACTCAGGTTGTAATTACGTTGTCCACATCACATAAAGTGAAATATCAGATATCAGACCTGTTGATTATCTCACTAAGTATATATACATGTAGTCTGGGTTTCCTACCTGGCAGATTTAGAACTACATTGAAGAAATTTCACAGTACCATAACATCTGTTTGTATTGTGTACAATGATGAAAAACTTCATAATAAAAGTGGTGTGATTTTAAGACATAGCTGTATACAGAACTTGGCACTTAATGTCTGTTCACTGTTGTTTATGACTGAAGACTCTAACATTCTTGATCCTCTGTTCTATGTACACATTCTGGTAACAAGAATATGTTACAAAAGAAACGTTTATTAGTTGAAAGTCTATACAAACCGTTAAAAAGTGCAAATAAACATTTTTGTAAAAATAGTACAAATTAAACATTTATATACATTTTTATTGTAAGCTCAGTGTCCTGGTTTTTTTTCTTTCAGTGTCAGTCTTTTTGTTGTGAATTTTCTGCATGAAATTTTTATAAACCAACACATGACATTCCGATAACAACAATAATACAGCGCTGGAGAAAACTGGTATTATATTATGATATTGCTGTCCAAACTTTCTAAGGGGAGATAACTCATTAACAAAATGTTTAAATAGTCCTCGGTAATAAAACAAAAACCAATGATCTCATGTCTTCGGAACATTAAAGGGATTGTTAAAAGCCTTAACACACATTATTTTGAATACAATCTCATGAAAATAGTTGTAATTATACAGTACTATACAATGGTACTGTAAAACCCTGTACTTTCGTGGGGCTCGAATTTCGTGGTTTGAAAAAAATATGTACTTGATTTCGTAGATTCATCTTACACATCAAATCCACCAGAACATGAACTAAAATATTTGTTAGTATTTATCTCTTTGTCTTGTTTGGATATATAAATTCTTGGAATAAGAGAAACCGCAAGTTCATCGAAAAAAAAAAAAAAATCATCCACGAAAATAAATGATTTTACAGTATCTGTTGAAAGTTATACAACTTGTCGGTGAGAATTTATACTACTTCCAAAATATTTTGTTATACAATTACACTAGTATGAAGGATTCACGTACAAATATCTGAACAATGCGAACATGTCCCACTTGAGGATTCCTATCTTTCATTTATACATTTCGTTCCTCGAAAATTTCAGGGCCCGCAACTTCTTAATTACAGAGTTATTTCCCTTTGATGAAAATTCTTATTGTAATTTTGCTTGGTTGTTTGTACTATTATTCTGAGGGGATGTTTCCTTGTAAGAAACAGCCATTTGCTACCTCAGTGAACAACGTACAGAAGCTCCGTCGCATGTCAGAGCAATAATGAAAAAAATGTGTTGTGCTTAAGGACACAACACGTCATTCTGATTTCCCAGAGTAACCGCCCTTAGTTTTCACTGTGCGTGAAGCTTGACAGCCGATGGGGGCAGAGCCAAATGAACCACGTCAAATAAGACTGGTTCATTTCACATTCCTCGGCACGGAAATGGAGCTTTTAAGTGTCAAGGAAGTTAAACTTTCTAAATATTCAACATTCAAAAGAAGCAGTTAGTTTTTTTTGGTGAATTAAGTAGTTCCGGGGCCTAAATTTGGTACATGAACATAGCGCATACTCTTAGTATGACAAGTAAATATACACCAAGGTTCATTATCCTATTTTGAATAATTAAAAAAAACAGGACAATAACCTTAATATAAATAAGATATTGCATGCCCTAAATTTAAAACGTTGCACATTCTTTTAACGTGACCAATGTATATACCAAGTTTCATGATCCTAGTTCAAATGCAAGCAGTGAAGCTTTGTTCTGGACACGAAACTTTTAACAAGGATCAATGTCTCTGCAGTTGATTAATTGCGGGCCTTGCCATAGGTACACTGCACATATTTTTTTTGTATAATCAGCGTGTTTCATTTTCCCAGTTTTAATTAAAGCAAAGATATGTTCCAGATATAAGATTTTGATAAAGGGCAGTGATGGTAATTTTCGAGGAGCACAAATAGAATCCACCACGAAAATTAACGATTTTCACGATTAATATGTATATCAAATCTTGTAGGTGAGTGTATAATATCAGACAATCGACAAGGTGACGCTTTTCTCTGTGTAAAGCGTAAGATTAAAGTAAGAAGCTGAGAAACAAATTTACATATAGTTTTTAAAGATTTTATTTAAACTATATACTTCCGTATATATGTCACATCATTCTCTAGCAGTACATCGACACATCGGAAAGTTAAATTACAGGGTTTAACTTCCTCTGTTACAATTCGATCGAAGATAATGAGATTGGAGATAAAAATGATTAATCCGTGTATTGTTTGGTCCGAATTCCCCAATCGCCAGCCGACAATTTGAAGCGAATTTAAAAGGCGTTTGTGTTTATCTCATGAAAGAAGATGACCTCTCTGTACTCTAAATTATAAAGGAGTGTTTTTATTATTATTTTTTTTTTCAATCAAGCATCGATTTATCTGTAGTATACAAGCATGTTAATATAATAAACAAACAAAATCGTAGTGTTCAATTAAAAACAAGATCGCGTGCAGAATCCCGCCAAACTTTTAGGACTCGTTGATGGGTCCGCAATATTCGTTGATGCCTTAGAGAATGTTGGTCGATGTCAATATATAGATGGTAAGATGTACTGACATTGTAATTAGATAAATTTCTGAATATTGGCTGTATATGACGTGATGTTAATTAAATCGGTATGTATCACGGGGATATAAATGTGTATAATTCAGATTGTACACAATAATTTACACGTGATTAATTTGAACATTTATGGTCATTTGTGAAAAACGGTGTGGATTAAACGGTAAGTATTTAATTATAACAATCATAGAAAACATTGTCACAAAATACCTTTTCGTATTGTTTAATGTCTGCATATTTAATCGACCTAATAGATTGATTGATGGAGATGAATATTCTCATTTATATCACTGTATTCTAACATTTTTTTTCCTCTCGATATTTGTTTACCTTTTTTTTTATTGGAATTTTTTACTTCTAGCATTATAGCATACGAGTCCTAGAAGGACGAAACTGAATCGCAGCGTGTCCATCATCTGCCGTCGTCCATAAATCGTTTTTCCTTAAGCAATTTTCACCCTCGATATTTCTTTAGAAGTGCTCTATGGATATTTCTCATATTTCATATATAGATTACCCATTTTGATTTTGGAATTGGTTAAACAAACGATATAGCTGACAGGCGGCCTTCTTGATTTTCCGACTATGAAAAATCTGTTATCATTATTTCATGAGATGGAAAAGATGGACCTTTCTCAGATCACATGGGCAGATTTCCCTTGGTCCATTTGTTCCCTTTAGAATCGGTACTGATCTGAAAACAACATTGTTGACAGTCGGTCATGTTTAATTTTGGCAATGAAAGTTTGTTTATCGCTGTTAAATGAAAAGGAAAACAGGCTGGATAGTTTGTCTCTTGTTGCACATTTAAAAAAAATTCAGGACGGGTTAGAAAAAAATCAATGACTGACATGTGGCCTTGAATTTAAATAATGGCGTTTTGTTTAGAAACGCTGAATGAACCATTCATAAACTTCCTATGCAAATGGTTTCCAATGTCCATATTTATGGAATTGATAAAAAACCGAAGATATAACGAAAACGACATAGCTGGTAGGTGACTGTTAATCTTCAGTATTGCTTTTACTTAGAGGAATTCTCAAATTCTGTATGATTAAGAACAAATGAGAGCAACGAAGAGAAAAGGGTAAAGATTCAACCATGTTGGCCACCAAGATCTCTCTGGGGATGTAATGATATTCTTTTTCCTCGTTCAGTATTGTCTTTTTAAACTCGTGAATTCACACCTGTGTCTCCATTGTGCAGCACGGTATATTTGAAACTCGATTTATCACTCCAAGAACCTAATTAATCCTGATGCAGGTTTTATCGATGCGAACATTGGTTGTTATGACAAACTAGATTAACTAATTAATTAATTAATTCCTAGTCCGTTTTAATTGATTCAGAAGCATAATGCCTTTTACTGTCTAACGACCTTTGACCTCTATCTGTTGTTATAACCTGATTTCGATTTTTTATTTCCAACAGTGTTGTTTTAAAGGTAAAGATAGCAAAGAAAATTCCTTAGAGATTTCGTACAGTTTCTTAACCTTACGAACCTGTTTCTAGAGGACAATACACTACATTCAGTTTCTATAAATAGTTACTTTAATATGTCATGCTTGGTGTTTGTAATATATGTAGTCATTTTTGTGAAATCGATCCACTGGTCTGGTAAGAATTCAGGGATCAGATAAGATATGGTATACATTGAATAATACATCTGCTTTGAAAATAAGACGATTTTCTTTGCGGTGAAAACCAGTTGACATGAAATAACTAATCTGCACGCTGTAATTTCAATCTTTCTCGAATAATTATACGTTGTATATATACTATATGTATCCGTTTTCTAGATGTCCCACTATCAAGGATGGCAAAATGAAAATCAATGTATTATTGTTTAGGTTTTCTTTGTAGAGAAAATAACACAGGCAATACTCAGCATACTCATCGTGAATGTACAGCTTACCCTTAAATTATTCACAGCTTAAACTGAGCTTATGTATAACTTACACCCAGCTTACTCATATCTTACTCAACGCTTATATAGAACTTACTCTTAGTTTATTTAGAGCTTACACTAAGCTTATATATAACTTACACTGAGCTTTCTCATATTTTACTCACCGCTTATATATAACTTACACTGAGCTTACTCATATTTTACTCACCGCTTGTATACAGCTTACTCTTAGATTATTTGCAGCTTCCACTCAGCTTAGATATAACATATACTCAGATTACTCCTATCTTACTCACTGCCAATAGAGAACTTACAACTTACACTCGTCTTACAACTTACACTCACCTTACAACTTACACTCGGCTTACTATCATCTTACACTCGCCTTACAACTTACACTCGACTTACAACTTACACTCGGCTTACAACTTACACTCGACTTACAACTTACACTCACCTTACAACTTACACTCGCCTTCAACTTACACTCGCCTTGCTTTCATCTTACACTCGACTTACAACTTACACTCGCCTTACAACTTACACTCGACTTGCAACTTACACTCGGCTTACAACTTACACTCGGCTTACTATCATCTTACACTCGCCTTACAACTTACACTCGACTTACAACTTACACTCGGCTTACAACTTACACTCGGCTTACTCTCATCTTACACTCGCCTTACAACTTACACTCGACTTACAACTTACACTCGCCTTCAACTTACACTCGCCTTACATTCATCTTACACTAGACTTACAACTTACACTCACCTTACAACTTACACTCGGCTTACTCTCTTCTTACACTCGCCTTACAACTTACACTCGGCTTACTCTCATCTTACACTCGCCTTACAACTTACACTCGACTTACAACTTACACTCGCCTTACAACTTACACTCGCCTTACAACGTACACTCACCTTACAACTTACACTCGCCTTCAACTTACACTCGCCTTACTTTCATCTTACACTCGACTTACAACTTACACTCGACTTACAACTTACACTCTACTTACAACTTATACTCACCATACAATTTACACTCGCCTTACAACTTACACTCGACTTACAACTTACACTCGCCTTACAACTTACACTCGCCTTACAACTTACCCTCACCTTACAACTTACACTCGCCTTCAACTTACACTCTACTTACAACTTATACTCACCATACAATTTACACTCACCTTACAACTTACACTCGCCTTACTTTCATCTTACACTCGACTTACAACTTACACTCGGCTTACTCTCATCTTACACTCGACTTAAAACTTACACTCGACTTACAACTTACAGTCGACTTACAACTTACACTCACCTTACAACTTACACTCGCCTTATTTTCATCTTACACTCAACTTACAACTTACACTCGCCTTACAACATACACTCGCCTTACAACTTACACTCGACTTACTCTCATCTTACACTAGACTTACAACTTACACTCGACTTACAACTTACACTCTACTTACAACTTATACTCACCATACAATTTACACTCGCCTTACAACTTACACTCGACTTACAACTTACACTCGCCTTACAACTTACACTCGCCTTACAACTTACCCTCACCTTACAACTTACACTCGCCTTCAACTTACACTCTACTTACAACTTATACTCACCATACAATTTACACTCACCTTACAACTTACACTCGCCTTCAGCTTACACTCGCCTTACTTTCATCTTACACTCGCCTCACAACTTACACTCACCTTACAACTTACACTCGCCTTCAACTTACACTCGCCTTACATTGATCTTACACTCGACTTACAACTTACACTCACCTTACAACTTACACTCGGCTTACTCTCATCTTACACTCGCCTTACAACTTACACTCGGCTTACTCTCATCTTACACTCGCCTTACAACTTACACTCGCCTTACAACTTACACTCGGCTTACTCCCATCTTACACTCGCCTTACAACTTACACTCGGCTAACAACTTACACTTGGTTTACTCTCATCTTACACTCGACTTACAACTTACACTCGCCTAACAACTTACACTCGCCTTACAACTTACACTTGGTTTACTCTCATCTTACACTCGACTTACAACTTACACTCGCCTTACAACTTACACTCGGCTTACTCTCATCTTACACTTGCCTTACAACTTACACTCGCCTTACAACTTACACTCGACTTACAACTTACACTCACCTTACAACTTACACTCGCCTTACAACTTACACTCGCCTTACAACTTACACTCGCCTTACAACTTACACTCACCTTACAACTTACACTCGCCTTACAACTTACACTCGGCTTACTCTCATCTTACACTTGCCTTACAACTTACACTAGCCTTACAACTTACACTCTCCTTACTGCTTACATTTGACTCACAGCTTATTCACTTATTTACACCTTACATGCTTCGTACCAAATATTCGACAAAGTGCCTAAATTATGGTATGTTCAACCTACATGTTAACAACAAAGTGTTGAAGTAACGGCGCAATGTTACCGGTAATCTACAGCAAGTTTAAAGGAAAAAATTACATGGGAATGAGAGAAAGAACTTAACAGTAAATGATTGATTGATAATTTACAAGAAAAAAAACAATCGTTCATTGATCTTGACGATGTCTAGCGTTTATCTCGACCGCTTTACTTATTAATATCAACATTAAAATTCCGTAGCTGCCAATGCTGATCCGATGTTTTCTATACAAAAATATCGCTGTAAGACTATAGCAAAGATTGTCGACTAACACACAAGAAAAGGGCACCTGGTAGCGATGATAACAGGGTAACTGAGGAAAAAAACATCCAGATTGTTATGGTCTTCAGCTCCATAATTCAATACATTTCATTTTTTCAAATATCGGAAGATTCCAAGAGAAGGTTTATTACATCTAAACCGTGTAGCCATTCAAATGAATTCAAACATGGCGTGCAGGTTACAGAAATCTCATGGACTTTTTATTTGTATGTTGAACAGACAAATTCCGTAAAGGAACTGAAGATAATGGTGACAGTTGGAGGCGTGAAGTGGCGGGAGGAATTGTCCAGTGTTGACCTTGCCTGTAGTCCATCCCTACTGACCACTACTGTCACGACTTTAATCGTCTGTCTTGCCACCTGTGTAAAAACAACATCGTCCAAAACCGCTATTTATAACACTAGGACGCGTACCTGTGATTGCTACGATAGCTTGACCACTATGACGTCATTGATGGGCAATCGCCTCTGGAGTCGTAAGGATTTATTTCCTATAAACAATTACACGTTATTTATTTTGTACTTTTGTTAACTAGTAGCAGATATTTTCTATTGTTATCGTCATGTTCAGATTTACAAGAGGGTTCAATATAGTTGAATACTTTCATTTAACTTAGTAAAATGTCCTTTTTTGTCACGTTCCTTAAATGAAGGAAAGAGGCTGATGTCCAGTTTGTGTTTTGTCCAAGATTTTCGATGAAGGGAACACGGCAATACATACATACAATTAACAAATATTTGATTATTGTTATCGATTTAAGGATTGACGAGATAATCAGCTGTTCGATACTAGGCTGACTCCGTCATAGGCCAATGTTCTGTTGTTATTAGCTCGTTAATGAATCGACAGCATGTATTTTTTTTGCCTTCTAATGTTTCAAAGATAACCAGATTTAAAACAAATCATTCTAAAGAAAAAAATGGAAAAGTCAAATTTGTCAAGAGAAAAAAAATATTTTCTTTTCATTTTAAAGATCGTTTTTTATCTAGGCCGAATTCTTCTCTCTCTCAATCAACTGTAATTTTAAAGTATACAGCGTCATAATATAACAACAATTAGAACGGTTCCAAATTTAAGTGTACACTTTGATATGGCAATTCGATAGTTACCTTAGGTTCTTTTAAAATTTTAAAATTGTACCAATTGATCCGAGACAAAACCTATGTTTATTGTCCACTGGAAATTGTAATTAGTGTTCCTTCTGACTTCAAATACAGTTTCAATACCAAGTTACCTCCCTTTACTCATGTTACAGGTACCTTTCGGAGTGTGGGTGTTATTTTTTACCTTTGATAAAAGTCACTGGCAGACACTTCAGCATATTTTAGTTTTGAGGGAATAACTTCGTTTGTTTTGTTAACCATTTTAATGAGTCTATGGGATAATGTAATTAGGTTCTCGATCCGCCACAGACATTCTTATCTTACTGTTTGAAAATGCACGTACTCAGCAGTTGGAGTTATTTTTCTTAAAATTTAATTCATAAAATAAGGATAAAATAATTTGATAAAAATAATTTCGACAGGTAGACAAATATTGATTTCTCAAGCAAAGAACCACTATCTTTTCTTTGAGCTACAGTTTTAGACCGTCAGGAGTGTTTCAAATATCACGAATGCAATATCACTGAAGTTACTTATCTAATGGCAATCTATGTAGACTATAAAATCCCAATGTCAATAGCTCCTAGTTTAAGGACATTTTTTAGTCTCTTGAATGACTAGCCTTAGTGGCAAGCAGTTCCTGTAGTTTGATTACTGCATATTTTAAACGTACTTGTCTCAGTGATCATCTCATTTTAGCAGTCATTTCATTTTAACACTTGACGCGCTAAAATATTACTCTAAAATATGATTGCTTTAACCGCTACGTAATCCAGCATGGCCCTTTTTGTCGATATTGTGTTAAATTCTTATCGCGCCAAGGTTAGCGCATAAGCAGTATTCACACTGAACTTCCGACTGGCTGAAATTGAAGATAATATTGTTTTACACACGTTTATATCTAATTATGTTTAATTTCCAGTCCAAATCGACGGTTACATACATAACCATTCACTTGGTTTGTACATGAAGATTGTTGCAGATCAATGGCTGTCACACGACTCTGCTAACAACGTATGCGCGGCAGACGGTGGGAGATTAGTTGTGATGGAAACAGTTGACAAACACAACTATATCACCAGTTTAAGTGACGTGAAATGTTCGTATACTATAGAAGGGATTCCAATTTTGATTTATCTATTTCAAATTCTAAAATAATGGTTATGTAACACATTTTCTTATTGGATAATTTTCATGGTCCAATCCCCGATATACTCATGAACGCCGACGCTAGCCCAAAGATGGCGGCCATCTTTCCTGTAGAGACAGATGATCGACATCGACTATGGAGAAATTGATGTCCTGTTAAAACTCAAGATTCATTGTCTAATATCAAATATATGCAAAAAGTAAGCATATAATTCCCTAATTGTATACAGAGAAACCAGATCTATATATTCCTATGAACAAATGCTGTAAATGTATGTTTATCTATTATATTTACAATGTGGTACACGTGAAATCTGACCAGATTTCCCGCAAAAACGGTATTAGCTATTTGCCTATCAAGTTCTATCAGTTGTCGGTCCGTTCCGTGGGTGCATACATTTATAAAGTCAAGTGAATGACGATTACAATTTCTTAAAAGTAGGGTAAATAAAAAAAACTGATTGTCCAAATGTAAATATATTTTTCCCCTTTTTGTTTTTTACGGATATAACGAGTGACACTTTAGTAAAATATCAGTAAAGATGCAGTTTACACACCAGTAAACAAAAAAAAAAAAAACAAACAAACAAACAAATTCTGAATAAGGTATTGCGCTAAAAATATGATTCCTCTTATTGCATTTGCTATCTGTCGCAATCATTGTGGATAAGTCTTCATTCATTGTTGCGCTAATTTGACAAAACTAATCTACAAGCAGTGACTGATATACATGACAAGAGGTTGGCAATGATATTTTGATCTTTTAATTCTTTTACAGATAACAGCTATTACCATATTGGTGCCAATGATAAGGTAGCTGAAGACACTTTTGTTTGGGAAACTGGAAGCGCGGTATCACGCCAGTCAACCCTATGGGCGCCCTCACAACCTGACAATCATCACAACAATCAGAACTGCCTAGTGTTGTACCAGTGGGTTTACGATGACGCGTCCTGTCACAATCAAATGAACTTCATTTGTGAACTTGTATAACATCGTTATTGATCTAATTTTGAAAGCTTTTTAAAAACACCAAATGAAAAAGAAACAAATGATGATTCGGAACACCCAATGAGCCTTTTGTATCGTAAAGCGAATATATCATTTATGATCGTTTCCAAACCGTTGCAGTATTTTAGAGAAGTGACAAAATTAACACTATGGTTCTCATTCTCAATCTTATCTTCAATGTATCTTTTTTATGTTATTGTATTCAATCCTTGAATATAGAACCCATTAATCTGTATAGAATGTATGTCTGTGTTGTCCTGTCGCTACTTCAGCAATGGAAACGATGTTACTTTGAAATAAAAATTAAAAAAAACAACAAAGAAGCAGGGAGTTAGGTCATCGTGCCGAGAATGTAAAAAATGGCGATGCCATATGTAACTCTCGTTTGACAGAAATTTATGTTTGTTTTTTCCCAGTGAATTTCACGCTATCACATTTTAACGAGATATATTTAAAAGATTCCATCCAAACATGTGTTTAAAGATCAATATATATAGCTAATTGTGACGTCACTGTAGACTATCCAAACGACGTCACGCGTTCACAAATTGCATGGTGACGTAACAATTGATATAATAGATGTAGAGTGGGCCAATTTGAAGTAGAAATGTAAGTTTTCTAGCATATTTACTTGTAAAATCAATCATGGGAAAAGATAATCTTAAATTATTTTTCTCTTTGATATGTGATTCATGAAACTCGTCATTGATATTTCATTTCATCTCGCCTTTAAATAAAAAAAAAATATTCTCATTTCATGAATTCACATATCAATAAAAACAAAAGTAAGATTCAATATATATAGAAGACAATGATTTGAAAAAGAAAATGTAGTTATAGGCCGGTGATGAAGACTCCTAATGGGAGAAATTACAATAAGATTAAGCATTCAGATTTACAAGTTTGTATATCCTGTAAAAAAGGTTTTAACGACCTTGGCTCCTTCAGGTTAAAGGCACCCTGAAAATGCCAAAACTCTAATAATCACATTTAATACCGAATATCTTTCTGTTGACGAATTTGAGAAAAGATTTTCTCCATATAGCATTTGGTTGTGAAATGGAAAGTGTTTTAATTTTTGTTCTTATGGTATTTTTTTAATATAGAAAACATTAATTGTTACAATTCAAATAACAGGAGACAATCCTGTATAACAGATAATTTCTGTGTTCAGTCTGCAGGTAAAGACAATGAAAAGAACCCGATCTACAGTATAAGCTTTGATATCAATACTGAAAAAGATATATGTCGCGACTTCCAAAATCTGCAAAGTTTTATTGTAACACAATGGTTAAGAACATTTTCTTGTAATCGACAGAAACCTGTTTTCTCAGGATTTTGTTTTGTTTAACTATTACTTACTAAAATACATAATAAACCTGATGTTGTTTATGTCAAATAAAACGGCTCAGAATTTCACCTGAAAAATGTATAATTCAGAAAGCATCACCAAATTAATATTTGTGTAAACAATCACTTGTCTGATATTAAAACGAGGACAAAGTTATCGTTTTAAATTCAGGAATTTCTCAGGTAAAAGTGCATAGAAGGATTTAATTAATGTTGTTTGTTATTAATATTTAAAAAAAACAAGTACCATATTTTTGTTTGGACTGTTTTAATGAATTAATTGGTCGCGGTACCAGCGTAAGGTAATGGCGTCCCCATGTCGTATCCAGGTGATTTACATAACCGTTCCCGATTTACACGCCACATTTATTCCGGACGTTCATTTATCTAGCCGTGTCTACAAGATACCTTTGATAGTTCTGAGCACAATAAACAATCTAAGTACAGTTACACTAGGCTTTATTTACTGATGGACTTCATCGATTATCGACTTATCTTCAGCAACATACATTGATGGATCAGTAAGTGAAAAGATTGTACTGCAGACTCGCACGTGACTCGCACGTTTTAATACCGTGCTATTATTCGAATTAATAAACACGTGGTAGGTGAATTAATTACAACACCCCTTGGGGACTAAAATTTTATCCAAACATTTCTAATCTCCATTATTATACAGCACACACAAAGGTGCATTAGTGCGTTTTAATTTTGATTTAAACACAGAGGAATCACACAATGAACTAAAAGGTATGTTATAGCCGTTTCGTCCTTCCATGAAATTTGTTTAGAAAAATCGAAACACGACAATTAAAGTGATATCACCGATCTATAATCGTCCATTAAATCTGAAGCATATAAGGCCCACAGTCTTTGTAAGTACTATGAATGAGTAATGAATAGGTAATAAATAAGTAATATAAGTAAGTAATATAAATAGTACTATAAATAAGAAATAAATAAATAATAAAAAAGTAATAAATAGGTAATATATCAATTATAAATAGGTACTATGAATAAGTTATTAATAAGTAATAAATAAGTAATATAGATAAATAATAAATAAATACTTTTGTATATACATTAAGATTTGATCATTTTCTTATCGCTTTCAAGATATGCCTGCTGTGCTAGCATTAAATCTGTATTAAGTGGTAATCATATCGGGACATTCGAACTTAATTTCTAACAAAACTTCCAAGTTCACGAAATATTTGTGTCCTACTCGTTATGAGTTAAATTACAACATATTTGAACATACCGTTAGATACAATGTGGCTTGTTTTTTTTATAGATGAGAAAGTCTTTATTTTCCATGATGTTGACGCCAACATTAATCTACTGTCCTAATTCCGGTGAGATTTAGTTCGACGATTCTGTCCATATCATGCGATAAAACTTTCTCAGACTTGACCTGCAGATTCCATCTGAAGAGAACATAGCACTCCATTGTGGGAGGGGAGATAACTCTATGATGCAGTAAAGCTGTGTTAGTGCATGACTTATGTTTCTTAATTGTTTCTCTCACGTTAATATTGCATGAAAATTAAGTCTTAAGAAATATCAACAAGCAGCGATTTTGTGTTGCCGTTCTGTGTAAGGTACTAAAGCAGGAATAATTCCTTTTTTGGTCTAACACCAGGGGGTCGTCGATGAAGCCGAAGACTCTTTCTCTTCCAGAACACCTGGTCTTATTCTCTATGTGTTTTTCAGGAATTTCCGTGTAATTCATTCTTTTGTTCATATTTTGTCCAAATTTCATCGAAGTTTCGTTTGAACTAAAACTCCGTTAAGATTCGATTTTTCGTCTGATGTTTTTTATTTATTAGATTTTTTTTAAAACTCAGTAGTCTGTCGTCTACTTTGAAAAAAAAATAATAAAAGAAAAGATACGGGCGACCAACCAACTAGTATTATTACAATTAGATAGTAAATACAGCAGAACTATTGAATATCACACGTCTGTTTATCCCATATTGTTCAGAATGGCCATTGTTAGATACATATCTGATTCCAAAATTTCATAAATGATCACAAAAGTGTGTTTATCATTTGAAAAGATAATCATCGATTATCTTATGAAGCATATTCATTTTTTAAATACAATGACTGTATAAACGGATAGAAAATATCATTATAAGTCCTTGTTAACGCATAAGTTATCTAAATATTTACATATTCATGAGGCCTTGAAATATTCACTTTATATAAATATCCAGTTAGAACGAGACTTACTGTCTATTCTCCCAAACCTTCATAGGGCTTGATACATATTTATCATCCAACTGCTCTAACGAGATAGTTAACAGACGCGTGCAGCCAAATCAGAAGATAGATTAACCCACAACGGAAATAAATTCTAAAAAGACAATTTCTTAAATGAATTGCGGTGGTACAGACATAATAGAAAAAATAGACTAGATTTTCCTGTCTTAGTACAATTTTTCTCTGGTTAACTGTGCTCGTTTCACTCATATATTTCTACTGCGTCGTTTGATCAACATTCCGTCTTGGAGTTTTTATGACGTAACAATGTTTTCGGAACATGGAAAAAGTTTCATCATAACTCTGACGATATTTGGTAAGTATGTTTATATAAAAAAATATCCACTAATCTGTTTGATGTCATAGCAATTACTCTTAGTTTTAATCTTAACTTATAAATCTGTTTTTCTTGATTTTTCTCGAAAAAAAAGCTGGGTCGTTTGGTTGGGATTCTTACGGAAACTTTTTACTGACATGTCACGATAATTTTATTTTGTTTTAACCTGGTATTATCTCGTTATTTCGAAATATTTCGTTTTATCAAAAATGGTATTTTGTTATTTCGTGAATGACTTCTTCTCAATAACTAAGGTTCTAATATATGGCCTGTGGTAAAGTGCTAAACTGTTTGGTAAAACGAATGACCTTGATTCACTTTCAAGGTCACTGGGGTCAAATATTTCAAAAACCATTTTGCTGTTGTTGTAATTGTAGCATGTTGAGAAAAAGGGAACCAAGTTTGTTAAAATGAGTGGCCTAGACAAACTGTCAAGGTCGCAAGGGTCAAACGTGTTGAAATATTTAAACGACACTTCAATAACAGAAAAGCTTAGGGTGTTGATATTGGGACAATAGAATTTTGGGTCGAAGGGCTACAACGTTTGTGAAAATGAATGACCTTGAATGACTTTCAATGTCACAATGATTAAAATGTGTTGAAACCTTTAAACGATTTCGTCTCAATAACCAATAGGTCAAGGGTTGTGATATTGGACCTAGAGCATGCTTAGTTGAAATACTACCAGGTTTGTTCACGTGAAATGTCCTTGACCCAATTTCAAGGTCACAGGTGTCAAATATTTCAAAACATTTAAACGACTTCTTCTCTGTAACCAAAAGGGCCCGAGTGCTGTAGTATGATGGGATGAAGGACTACCAAGTAAATAAATGACGTTGACCCACTTTCGCAGGGGTAAAATAAGTTGAGATATTAAATTTTGTTTTTGTTTCAACAAGCAATAAGTCTGGATTAATGGTATTTGTGTTGCTTCATGTATAAGAAATAGGATTTCAAGTTTGCAAAAGATTTTTTTATGAACTGACAAAGTCTTTGTAAGTTGTAGAGCTATGTAGGCCTATGTGGCTTT